CCCCTATTCATTCTCACCCCAGTCACCTGCTTTTTTGCCATACATCAAGTGCATGCATTTACTTGAAATGTTGGTCCAACTCCTCTGAGCTCCACCAGGGTTCATCTTCAAATCCTTGGGGTTTACAAAACCTACCTGCACTTTCCTGCTAAGCTCTGGCTAGACAAGAGTGATGTTGCTGCTTTGACTCTTCCAGGGGATGACCTGATGCGCTGTGTGGATCTTTACAATCAAGCCCAGTCCAAGTGGTTTGAGGAGATGGTGACCACCACTCTGGTATGTAACACCTAAAACAACCCTTGCAGAATTGTCACAGCCTACAGTATTCATCATTCACAGCAAGTTCAGTGCAAAGCAGTGGGGAAAATTGGGTAATGAATCTCACATTGTTTATCCTGTTCTCAGTCCTAAGAAAAACTCGTCAATAGGGGAAAGAAGAAATAATTGTTTCTTTGCAGAAGGCATTAAACCAGTTCAGGGCTGCTTAGGGGCCAGAACACTGAAATTTTCCTTAGGAAGGATGAAGTAAAGCACAAGAAAAACACACGGTAAATCACCAAATCCATTTATACCTTAAGGAATTTTTCTATTCCACAATTTCACAGTTTTCTTTGAAGTCTCCCAAGGGCCATCTCTTCTGCAGACTTAACAGCCTCAGTTGTCTCAGCCTGGCTTGCTACAAGCTGCCTTGGAGCATCTTCGTGGCCTCCTCTGGACTTAAGCCAGAAGCTGCACATCCTTCTTGTGCTGCCAACCCCAGAGCTGGCTGCAGTGCTCCAGGTGGGATCTTACCAGAGCCTCCCCTAAGGCTTCCCCTCCAGACCCTTTTTTGTCTTTGTGACCTTGCTTTGGACATTCTTAACAGCTTAAGGTCTTCTTTTATACTGTAGTGCCCCAAACTGCACACTGTGCTCAGTGTATTCAGTCCTGAAGGACTAAATGCAGATTTTGGGGTATAATATTAGAATCCAGAAGGAGAGGGAGGCAGAAAATATCAGGAGGAAAGACAGAAATCACCTGCCTTTCCAACTAAAGTGTTGCTGGGTTCTGCCTACTGCCAGCTGAGCAAGGTGGAAGCTTGTCCCAGCTCATCATCTGGTGAACTGTGCTCTAACAGGTGTCTGCTTGGAATGGGGGTGCCATCCCCCCCAGCGTGCTTTCTGCTGCCCCAGAGAACCACTGTGATTTCTGTAGCTAGCAGTAAAGCCCACAAAACTTGCAGGAAACTGATTCCCTCTTGCTTGCAGCATCTCTGAAGGCAGTGGCTCCACTCTCTGCCTTGGTTTTCTCAGTTTTGGAACCTTTTGGAAAGGTTTGACCTTCTTTTCCATTGCTAGGCTGAGATGACTGCTGTTGCTTGCTGTTTCTTATTCTTTGCAGAGCAGAGGAATGTGCAACCACAGAGTCCAGCTCCCAAGCATGACCCTGGGGCAGTATCGCACCTACTGGCAGCCTTTTGTGTATCATCCTTTCTCTGGGCCTCCAAGCTCAGGTTCCAGTAAAAATATGGACTTGTTTTTCTTCATGTCCAGGAGCTTGAGAGACTAGAAGTTGAAAGGGTGGAGATGATTCGGCAGCATCTGTGCCAGTACACACAGCTGCGGCACGAGACAGACATGTTCAACCAAAGTGTAAGTGTGCTTTTCGTTTGCTCTCTGTGCCTCCACTGCCCTCAAGTGAGCAGAATGGTCCCTCCTGACCTGCTCTGACTGGCTTTTGTCAGAGGATGTGGGGGAAGTGTCTGCAGGCAGCCTGTTAGTCTGCAGCAGTGCTGTGCTGCCTCCCTGCAGTGCAGGACTCTCTCATCACAGTTCCTACTGCTGGATCACAGCGCTTTCCTGAGGGAGACACAGCCAACTGAAGTGCACTTGGCCAGCATGAGCCATTAGTAGCTCTCCCAGCATGATGTACTACTCCATGTGGTGTTCTGTTTGTGCTGAATTGTTTCACTGTTGGAAAAGGGAGCGTATATATATTTTCCTTATTAAAAACTGGCCGTTTAGCAAATATTAAAGTATGGGGAATGCACGCTGACTCAGTACAGCTGTGTTTGGTGTAAGGTGCAGATTGCAGGACGGGAGTCAGAGGCTGCCTGGCTGCTGCCTGGCACAGGAAACCTGTCTCTGCTTCATCATGTTAAGTTTCCCTCTTCTCTGCTTCTGTTCAGACCTGTCTTGTCCATCCAGTCTCATGTAGGTGCAGCTCTGACTTGTCTGCAGATGCAGTGTATGCATGCCCACAGCTGCTCTGCATGTCAGAACTATGACTCTCTGCTTGAAGTGTGCCCTTGACATTTGGATTCTTGTTTTCTTCATTTCAGACAGTAGAACTTGTGGATCAGTTGCTTCGGAAAGTGGATCCTGCCAAAGACAGGGAACTGTGGGTAAAAGAACACAAAACTGGAGATATCCGACCTGTGGACATGGAAATATAGACTGATCTATGGTTGGATGTGATGAGTCCACTGAATTAAGCAGGCTAATGTTTGTTTTAAGGGTCAAAAGAGCATAGGGAAAAGGTTGTTTCACTACCAGACAGACACCTTGTAATTTATGCCTGTATGGGCTATCTCTGTTCCATTTAGTCATTACAATGGTCCTCGTTGTGCTAAGCCTTAAGCACCAGACATTCCAGGGTGAAAAAAGCAGATGTGTGCTTCCCACCAGAGGTTCCCAATTGCACGCAGCTTCCAGGAGAAATCTGCTTCCTGGCACAGAAAGTGCCCTGTTCTTCAGTGACTTTGTGCTCCACCCCTTGCATGACTATCTCTATACAGTGTGTTAGAACAACCAGGCAGAGAGCCTCTGGCCAGCGAGGAGAGAACTGAATCTGATGCAGGAGGCAAGGAGGTCCTGATCAGGAATCCCAGGTCTATCACTGACTGCTCTCATGGCCATAGGCAAGTCAATTAGCTTTCCTGGCTCCCCTGTTTATCAAATCTGTGTATCCTGCAGCAGTGTTGTGTGAATACATTGCTTTCATAGAACACTGTCTTTCACCATGGCAGTGAAGTGATGGCCCTTCTCCCAAAATCTACGGAGAGGATTCCTGTTCTTCCTGTTTTATACTCCCTCTCAGGGATACATAAACTCATTTTCATGATTTCTGTTGTCGGCCAGTCGGTAAGTTTGAAAATGTTACCATCACAATTTTTTATCAGGAAAGACTTGGTTGTACTATACCTACCTCATTAGCTGTCAGAGTGCCCTCAATGACAGAAGGAGGTTGTATTCCAAGGAATAAATGAGATGTTTAAAATCTTCCCTGCTCATGCAAGGTGTTTTTCCACAGAATCTTCTTAAAGACAGTCCTCTAATAGTTTACTTAGGATTCAGGTTTAGATTTCATTTTTTGGTTTCTTCAGGTGAATGCCACAGCCTTTAGGTATTTTTAATTACTGGGTTTGTCCTGCTAAATTTTGGCTGTTATCTTTTTGGAGCCTGATTTTCAAAGGTGCCATGACTATGTGATGCTAGATTGCATTCAGTGTAGATGTAGGTGCCCAGCACTTCTGTGTCATCAGAGTCTTAGCCTGAGTTTTTTTCTATGTTACTGTCCTGGTTTAGGGCAAATGATGAGCATCATAAAGTCACCCCAGGCCATTTACCCTTACTGCAAACCACCAAAAATTCAACATTGCTCTTAGCAAATTGTGTAATGTAGTTTGGAGACTGGTTTTGAAATTGTATTTATTTTCTTCTGCTGTTATTTCTGATTGAGTATTCAGAGTTGCTGTTAATATATTTTTTCAGCATTTCACACAATGCAAAGATTATTCACATTCTTCCTTTCAATCCAGGAGAAATCTTGATTCTCACCACTGTGGCCTTTACTCAGTGTTTACTGTTTTCTTAGCTACAATATCCCAAACCATACTATTTCATTTGATCCACAGTTTCGTTCCATTTTATCTCACTGTTACTGTCTTTTTCTCCCCAACCCCAGAACTGCATCCTTCTTTTGTTCTACTACTGCTCCAGGTTTTTGTTCATCATCCTGCAGATTCTGGGTCTGGATCATTGGGAGTCAATATTCCTCTTTGGAAATAAAAACTGAGACACAGAAAAGTCATACCTGAAGCACGTTTGTAACATTGCTGCAGTGGTTATTTTTCTGGTTTATTATTTCTAAATTATTATTGCATTGTTCTCATACTGCTCCCTTTTTCCCAACCATCTCTTTACTAGTACAGGTTCATTCCTGTCTTGCAAATGCCTTCATAACCCACTCCTCTGCTGCTTCATTGACCTTTAGAAACCCTTAGCATCCTTTGCACGTTGGCAGATGGAGTGCCATGGCTGCTGCACACTCAGGATCACTGCTCCTGGTGTGACACTTCTGTGCTGCACACTTGGGAATTGGGTCTCCAGTTTTATTCTTGGTGTTGGAAAAGCCTCACCTGAGTTCCTGCACAGAGCACTGCAGCACCAGCTGAAGTCTCTGGTTTTCCTGAGTGTCCTTGAGCTTAGTGAGAGCCTCCCTGGAATCTTCTTCTCCTTCCTTCTGCCCTCAAGCAGGGCAGTTGATGATCTCTCCTTTTCAGTCTTTCTTCTGATTCACTCTGTGTCTTACTAATTTTTGGCCATATCAGTGTAATTCTTTTTCTCTTCATGCTAGGTCTCATAAGCTCTCATAGACAAGCATTATACCCAAGATAGCTCAGCTACCTCAGGTGGCATAAAAGTAGCAGGATGGCTCCTGTGACAGTGTTGGAAGCAAAAATTTTTAATAAAAGGCAAAATAAAAAAGCTTTTTACAGAAAAAACCGAGTCAGGGCAAGAGGTTCTTGCTCCTGCTAAAACACTTTACAAAAGCAATTACATCTTCTATTCTCTTCTTTTCTAGTGAATTGCTTAGGCAGGACTTTTTGGCTCCTGTCCCATTAGCTATCCTTAAGTTTGAGGTGAAGGTCCTATGAGATGTCTTTTAACCAAATTGAGGAGAGAAACTTCTGGAATTTTGTCCTTTTTAAGGAGACAAAAAGTAACTTGTTTACTCTGTCAACAGGGGCACATTCCTACATCAGTGTGTAGGAACTCTTGCCTTGCACTTCAGAGGATAGGCACTTTTTATTTTTTAAGCCACAAGTGCAGGTTGAACTTTGAAAACTTCAGTGGCCAAAATAATGTGAATACATGAAAGCTGCATTTCACGTTGCCCCCTGTTCTAGGCTGTATTGTAAATTGACAATGGTAATCTTGACAATGCCTCAGCACGTTCTTACTTTGATTGCAAAACAAAGCTAGTTGTGCACTTTATACAGTATTTTCCTTAATAAATACCTGAAATAATTCGTTAGCAATTACACTTTATTTTTCCTCTTTCTTTAAAGGTGTTTGTTACTTTATCTATTTTGGACTGGAAATACTGTCCATTAGCATAAGTTTCTCTGGGGACTGTAATGTGTTTTGGTTCCTCTGCTAAGGTGTATTTATGCTGCTCTAAATTCTTAGTTGGAGGGTTTGTTGTTTTTGTTGGTTTGGGGTTGTTGTTTTTTATGGTTTGTTTATTTTTTTTTCCTTACTTCTGGTTTTATTTCCAGACAGTTTTCCTGCTTCTAGCTCTCGGTCCATTTGAAATGTTTCAGGGATGTGGGTTGTCCAGAACAGCAATTCTCTTGGTGGAGGCTGTGTCTGGTTTTCACTTCAATGACCAGAGGAGAGCACAGCTACCTGGCTGGTGATCTTTCCCAGCCCTGCTCCACCACAGGTGAGATGTTCATCCACAACACTTCCATCTGTACTCAGTGCAAGTTTTGCTGTTGCTTGTAAACCATTTTCAGCTTATTTCTTTCAAAAGATGCTATTCCCTCTTGCTATGACCCTGCAGATCAGTGTTACCTGGCTCATTGCCTTCTCTGACTGATGGATTTTGGGTAGTGATGCCTTACAGGTCAGGCCATGCTGGAGTTCCTTGCTTCTAACAGGCAGCATCTTCAAAGAGGGAAGTGGCACATGTAAAGGAGAGCATGGATTCCTGCTCTCACAGGTAATTTTGGGAGTTTCAGCATTGCTCTCTTTGTCTTCCACTGACTTTCAAATATGCAGTGGAGCCCAGCCTGTCTTCATGCTCCTGCTTCTCCAGAGCAAGATCAAACTTGTGTTTTATTAAAATTCCAGCATGCGTGGATGCTGCATGACACAGCTGCAGTGTAACTGATTAATGGAATACCAAAGGAAATCCTTTACCTCCAGTACTGAGCTTTGGCATCATCTCATTTCATCTGGCACCTCCCACGCCTGGTGTGAGCTTTTGCTGCTTTAGTCACTGTGGGCTCAGATTGGCAGGGTTCTCTCAGCTCTGCCTGCTCTGAGGTCACAGAGCAGCTCATTTCTCAGCTAACACTGTTTGCTTTCACTGCCAGAGGTGGAACAAGGGGGGATTTTCCTCAGGCCCTTAGCAGGTAGCTCTGCTTGCCCTGACCTGTTAAGCCACCTATGTTTTGGGAGTGCTGCCACACCTGTGAGCTCCCTCGTGGTCTGAGTGATGCTGTCACACTCTTGTCCTGTGCTGGAGATTTCTGTGGCATTTTCCATTTCAGCCAGAGCCTTTTGGCCCTTCTCTGGGCTTCCTGAACTCCATGGCTTCAGCTCAGTGCCACAGCTGGTGAGATTTGCCAGCTGTAGCCTCAGCTGCCATACAGAATGAGAACTTTTTACTCCTCATCCACACCTTCCTGCCTGTGTCTCCAAAGCAAAGTTGAACATCTTTCTCTCTAAGGAATTCTTTCAGCTCATTTCCTGCCAGAACTCATTCTGGATCCAGTGCTGTTGGCTGATTCCTGTTGGAGTTTATTAGCTAAAAGCAGTGAGTCCTTTACCACATGGGCCAAATGCACTCTTCTCCCATTAGCAGCAAGATTCCAGTTTCTTTCTTGGAGTAATATCCCAAAAAGGCCCAATTCTCAGTTTGCTCCAGGTTCAGTCATCTCTGTAACTCACACTTGTTCATCACTTCTATGGGTTGGACATCTTCTGAAAGACTTTGGTTGCTCCCTTATAGGGACATAAGTTCATTATTGGACACTGGAATTGTAGAAGATAGCTTTAATTTTTTAAATTTTATTTTAAAATACTGTAACAGCAGTGAAAATCATACAGAAATCCCTGTTATGTTTCTAGACTCCCTTTCCCCCTGTGCTCCCCATTATTGCACAGATAAACACTGAAATCACACTTCTTGAGTGCCTGACAGGCAGCATGCAACCTTGTGCACTGCTTCTTTTTCCCTTTATGCAGCTTTTTTTTTTTTTTTTTGTCTTTACTTGGGCTAGTTTTTTGCGGTTTTTTTCCCTAAAATGAGTTTTATGTGGGGCATTCACAGGAAATTTCTTTATGCTTGTAGCAGTCATAGTTTCTCAGGCTTTGTTAGGACTTCCTAGAATTGTCTGTTTTTAATGTCATTATTTAAATATTGGCTGCAAGTTAGGCTTATTATATAGAAATGGGCATTCCTCACTGTTCTTTGGAAGTGCTCAGCACTCAGAGATTTCTTGGAATACAACAGGGAGCTAAGAGATAAGACTCTTTGAAAATCAGGCTAACAAACAGAAATGCACAAGCCTCTTCTTTCCTTACTTGTATTCAACTACATGGATAAAGTAAATATTAAGAAATGAGAAATAATTAAAGTGTAGTTGCTCTCTGTGCAGCTCCCAGCAGCTCCAGTATGTTCTTGTGTGGGGCTGCAGTCAGAACACACCTCTGGAGCAGCTGTAAAAACTCAAATCCATAATTCAGAGACAAAGAATCTCTGCCCATCTGTTTCTTCAGTCACACACAGGGAGAGGAAGGGCACTGCTTACCCAGGTGGGTCCTTCACTACCAAGCACCTTAAGAAATCCAGACAAGCACTTTGAAGGTCCCCCTGGAATGAGTAGATGTGGCTTCGTGACGTGGTTATTGGATGTTTCCTTCTGAACTGAAAGCAGATTTACTGTTTCACAGTATCTCCTGTGCTCTTGTCCACTGGTGCAGCCTGCTGTGTCTGCTCCCAGAGATGGCAGCAGTGTCCTGAGGGCAGTCCTGCTCACCCTGACATTCCTCTCATTTGGCAACTACATCTGCAAAAGGCAGTGTCAAAAAGGCAGTTTTCAAAATAATGATCTTTTCAGCTCACAGAGCTCTCTGGAAAGCCTGCAGGCTTTTTGCTCCCCAGCATGTGTTGGAATAGCAGAGTGGCGTGGCAGAGGCTGCTGCAGCGTTGGCTCTGAGGAGTTGCTGCTGTGAGGACATTCCTGCCATCCCCTCACAGGGATGGGCAACAGCCCACAGGCATCCTGTGAGCACCAGAGGAGCCTGCTGGCCACATCTATCTCAACCAGGTGGGCAAGAGTCACAGGTAAATTCAGATTACAGCAGACACATAGGGCAGGAAGGTGGTTACTTCAGTGGCACCTCTCCCAGACCCTGATGGGCATTGAGTAATGATAAGTGAGGAGCCCAGAACTGTCCCAGTCCTGCTCAGAAGCTGGAAATCAGTGCTGGGATGTGTCTGTCTGATACAGAGCTGTCCAGCTCACTGGAAATCAGTGCTGGGATGTGTCTGTCTGATACAGAGCTGTC